TTGCATTAGCACGTGCATCGAAAACCAACTAAAAGAAGACAAATTGTTTAATCAACTCTTAGTTTCTCGAATTTAACTTGTACAGGTGGCTTGAAAGGTGATGAATGAAAATCTCGCATCTTGGAGTGTGATAGGAAACTTTATACGGTTTTCCCTGCCGCTTGTTTCAACAGCCGCGTGCAGTCAATCCTCCCTTACGCGGAAGAATGGCAATCGAGATCGCACGAACTCGATGTACACTGTGCATCTTCATTTACAAGTGAAATAGTAACTTGCATACATAGCAAAAGGCTTCAGAGACAAACTTTTGATCGCTTTGCGCCAGTGCTGCGCACTTCGGGGCTCCTGAAAATCTATACGCAAGTAGCAGATACGGGCAATCTGTTTTCTGGATCTCGTCGCAGCGTCCGATTCCGTATTGTAGTCGACGCAGCAGTTAAATGATTTGTTTTTTTTTCCAGTTGATTGTCGATACATAGGTCAAGACAATCATCGTTCCTACTAAAACTGAGCCAGAACTCATTTCTCATGCTGGTTTTTAGGAAACGTTGTGACTTTACAGAATAGTAGGGAGTGATTTCGTTTCTCTTAGTTTGCCACGCTTTAGTCTATATTATAATATTTTATGAGCACTAGATGGCCTCCTCATGGATATACAGTGCATGACCGATCTCATGAGATGTTGGCCAAAATTCTGAAATGCGTTTTCGATTTGGAAGGATTACTTAGGCGCGGTTATAATACTGATTATCTTGCGACATAATCCTATAATATTTCGGACTCGGTAGGATGTTAGCTTTTGAGTGCACTGCTTTCCAGTATCCTGTAAAAACCGTACTCGGTAAAACTGACTACTTAAGTAGCATGCATTTTTCACACTGATTTTCGATGGTCTCGCAAATTCAAATATATTTTATAGAAGGCACGAACACAAATATGCTTTCTTTCAGTCGTTTGATAGCGAATCACGTCATCTTCTTCTATGCCTTTAAAAAGATACCATATAGAATCTATAAAATTTAGCAATGGATGCGGACCATGCTGTACATTTCACGAGGAGCAGTGGTAAACGGGCAGGTACGATGCCGTATGAATGTACATTGCACGGTCTTAAAAATCTCATAATTAGAAACTTTTTTAAAACCTAGTTATACGCCTTCTGCGAGTATAAAAAATTGAGATGACGTGAATCGCGCCTTCTATAAAATATATTTGAATTTGCGAGACCATCGAAAATCAGTGTGAAAAATGCATGCTACTTAAGTAGTCAGTTTTACCGAGTACGGTTTTTACAGGAGACTGGAAGGCAGTGCACTCAAAACCTAACAACCCACCGAGTCCGAAATATTATAGGATTATGTCGCAAGATAATCAGTATTATAACCGCGCTTAAGTAATCCTTCCTAATCGAAAACGCATGTCAGAATTTTGGCCAACATTTCATGAGATCGGTCACGCACTATAGGAATTTGTTCGGGTGAAAATTCACAGCCTGTTGCTCTGGAACCCTGAACGAGAGGGAAAGTGCAAGTCGTGCTTAAAAATATACATTTATCTGACAAGTTTTAAAACCGATACACTTCCTTTCTGCAGAGGTTGAATTTTCAGAAACAGTGGGTGGGAAAGCCCACTACCACTGTACCACTCCAGCCCTCCCTATTTGCGGCCAGGCATTGGAGAAGGCTGTATTCTTTCGCTCACTTCAGTTAAACATGTCAGAAGCCGGAATCTCAGTTTTGACAGTGTTGACTACGCTGACGACTTCAAGCTAGGATGACCTACAGAATGCAGACATGGGAGGTTGAGGTCGACGTCGGGTTGCACAAGTCGAAGTGACCGAGGGTTGCATTCCAGGCTGGGAGAGGGGGAAGTTAGAAGTGCCAGAAGTGCTCGAATCGATGCTGCCTCAGGATTTTATCACTTACGGGTACCCAGTCTATTCCGAGCCCTGCGGGGAATTGTGTGCGTCGGATACCAGTAAGAGATACTTTCCCAACAGTTGCGAATTCTGGGCTTACAAGAAGAGAGAAAGCTCGGAATATTAGACCATCATGGCTTGAGGACAATCCTTAGAGTGCAGAATATGAAATTCGTCTCAAATGGGGCAGTTTGCACTTCCTGAGTTAACCTTATGAGTGTACACCAAGCCGTCCAAGACCAACAGCTGGAGTGGTTTGAGCGCATCGGTCGCTTATTATCTAAGTGGTGTTGCCCCAACTCCAACGTCGAACACAAGTGGCCAGCCCCAACTTTGGCTCCAAATATGAGATAAAAAGGATAGGAAGTTCACGGACCCTCTGCAATCAGTGTTTACCGTTCAGTGAGCGAGTCGAGTTCGCCAAGTGTGTTGTCAGAGATTGCCCGCGTGGGGGAAGGGGGGTCGTAACATGGGACATAACTGAAGATGTCGAGACCAAACATGATCACAACCCTAAGACACAAAAATCATCGGCTACTCAATACTTCCCTTATGAATCAGCGGACTACCAAAACAATGCCGATCGCGGGGACGACTGCCGACCTCAAAGGAGTCTGTGACGGAACAAATTGGGCTATCATATAGATCAAGTCTTCGAAGTTAAGGGTAGCTCTAGGGACGACTGTTTGCGGGACTGGCTTGCGCACCCAAATGGCTGCCTTAGTTATTAGATGCATTACAACAGTGAGGTCAACCCTACAGATATTAAAATAGTTCCCAAAAATTGCAGGTAAATGCGACAAAATTTTTCGAAAGTGTTCACGAAAAAGATTAGACGCACCAAACTTCCACCTTTTTGAAAGTCGCTAGTTGGTATCATTATTGATGCATCTCGCTTATGTGGACCAAAAGAGCGCGAAGACATTGGAAAGTTACAGCACAAATTGTCTGTTCATAGCTCAACTTAAAGATACATACGCACTTGATGCAGTTAGTGATCCTACTAGTTGAAATAGTTAATCACACAAGCTACAGGAAGCAGACAAGTCGGAGAGAAGATACTGGCTATGAGATGGGCGCGAACCTTCGACTCCCAAGCTCATGCCAGGTGATCTACCTGCTGAACTATTGCAGATATACTTGTCAGCTTTGCTGATGAGGCGAGATTATTGTGACGTAAGACTGTTTTATAGGAAGAAAAGGCATAGTGTCCTATATGCACAGAACGGTGGCAGAAGATCAACGCGGTCTATGATTTTAACAATTGGAACGCTCCCTTCAGATAGATTATGAGGCAGCTGGGGGCTCAAATAGCCAGACGACCTCTGCTGCGAGAGAGTTAAAGTTCGGGAGGAGGCTGCAATGTAGGGGGGCGGCCGGTTGTGATGTAGTGAATTCTGCAGTATAGAACCGACCCAGACAGATACTGGATGATTGGAAGATGCCGACGAACTTCGTTAAACTGTGCCGATGAACACCCGCGCAACGCTTTTGCACGTACGTCGGGTCGACCTACAGTAGGTGGGCTAACGCATGAAATGTCAGCCGAAATTTCGAAATGCGTTCCCGTTTCGAAAATATTCATTAAGCAGAGTTGTAAAACTAATCATAATGCAGCATAATTCTATAACAATCCAGTTACCTCAGGATGTAGGCTTTCGAATCAACCTCTTTCCGACTGCATGCAAGAACTATACTTTGCAAAAAAATGACTACTTGAGTGACATGCAATTTTCTCATTGGTTCACGATGTCCTTGAAAATTCAATTATATTTCATGGAAAACATGTATACAAATATTGATTCTTTTGCTCATTCGGTAGAAAATGGCGTCAGTTTCCAATTTCATACCCAAAGGAAAGGTATAATTCGGTTTTAAAGAAGTGTCTAATTGTGCGATTTTTTAATACCGTGAAATGGCCATCCATAAAAAGTCATGTCTCTGCATTTACTAGTGTAGCTTGTTAAGTACACAATATGGCCAAATCCACTGCTAAATTTTATGAATCCTACATGCTCTGCTCTTAATGCCGTAGAAAAATGTATGGTTTTCCATAAGTAGAAAATATTCGGCTTGTAGTTTGGTAACCCTGAATGCAAGTGTAACGGCAAGTCGGGTTCAAAATTATTCGGGAATTGGAAGTTTTTGAAAACCGAATTATACCCATACTTCGAGTATCAAATTGAAATTTTCTACCGAAATAGTGAAAGAATGAATATTTTCATGCATGTTTTGCATGAAATAAAATCGAATATTTAAGGGCATCCGAAATCAGTGACAAAAATGCATGCTACTGAAATAGTCATTTTTGCAGAGTATAAATCTTGCATGCAGTCGGAAAGAAGTTGGTTCGAAAGCCTACACCCTGAGGTAACTGGATCGTTACAGAATTATGCTGCATTATGATTAGTTTTACAACTCTACTTAATCAATCTTTTCGAAACGCGAACGAATTTCGGCCGACATTTCATGAGTTAGCCCGCATACTGTATGATCGGCGTGAGACGTCAGCAAAAAGCTCGAAACGGCTGATTTCCCGGTTTGCCTGCATCACCTCTGACTACAGACAGTGGCGACAACAGAGACCGACGCAGTCAAAACCACAACGAAGTCGATTTCAAACTCACATTTGTCCATCAAATACAACTCATTCCAATTACGCGAAAGGATTCTTATCCGCGACATCTGTTCCCAGAAAGCCCTACAGTGAGAGCAGCGGGCAAGCCGTCAAGCCAAATAATAATAAAAGGACGGATGGACCAGACAGTCCCAACACATAAAATCATGCATACAACGTGAGGTTTAGGCGACGAGGACATGTGAGGCTTGAATGTCCGCCCCCGTGTAGACGGACTGTCTATAGCCTTGCCATTCACCGCGTCCACGCCCGTCTCCAGTCGTCTTAACACATTCTTGCCACCAGAGCAAGGCGGATGAAAGAGCGGGTGTGCAAGTCTGACTCACCATAAACAACTTTACGCGCATGTCAACCGGTGCTGCAGCTACTCCGCGGGGTACGCGGTGGACGGGGCGGCTTCTGACGGTCGAAGTGTCGCAGACTTAGACATAGTGAGTAGGCGGCTTAAGTAACATCCTCGGCGAGAGGACAATGGCGACAGCATCCGCAACCTATTATGCGGAAGCCTCGGTCGCCAGAGCCAATTCTATCCTCATACGGAGACGCCATGAGCTCCAGGAGGAAGAACAAACCGACAGAGATAAGTAATCTAACTGCTCCGCAGACGGAGTCAGCCAAGCTAAAAACCACAGAACTTACCTCAAGGATGCGCAGCTGGCTTGCAGAGGCTTTTTCAATGGCGGTGGCAGCCAACCAGCTGCATTTGCCTTCTGCAATATCGGTACCCACCTTGCCAGTGACGGTTGAGTCGCCGAAGACGTCCAAGAAGTCATCCTGCAATGATAGACCAGGTAACAACAGTGCGTAAATTTCAGAGTGGCCGGAAGCTGGCATCTAGGGGGTCACGGCAGCTCCGGTGACCAGAGCAGAACAGCTCGGTTAGCTCGGAAGGCGTCCTAAGGTGCCCGGAAGCCCGTAAGACGCAACGGAACGAGTGAGTTCCGTAGCTCGATCGGCGAGCGCCCTTCCACCATCCCGGTGTACATGCTAGATTTTAGTTGCTTTGAAATAACATGCTCAAGGAAAAACCGATAATCCTGAAAGTGCATGCATTGTGGGCGGCTTATCAAACTGTCAGCAACTGTTAGTCCAGAGGAATCCAAATTCCACGTTGCGGTGCCACGGCGTGTGACCGATCCTATGAAATGTTGGCCGAAATTCTGAAAAGTGTTTTTGATTGGTAAGGGTCACTTGGGCGGGAACATAAAATTAATCAGCATGCGGCATAATCATACGATATTTCGGACTCGCCAGGATGTTGGCTTTCAGATATGTCTCTTTATAACGTCCTGTAAAGATGAAACCCGCGAAAAATGACTACTCAAATAGTATCCATATTTAACATTGATTTTCGTGGTTGAAAAACGTGTATTAAAAAGCCGACATCCCGGCGAGTCCGAACCATTGTAGGATTTTGTCGTATGATAATCAGTATTACAATCCCGTTTAAGTAATTCATTTTAATCGAAAACGGATTTTAGAATTCCGGTCAACATTTCATGAGATCGGTCACTCACTGCAGCAGCTGCCGGCCCCTATGATTCTTAAGTCGTGCGGTCGACTTTATCAAAAAATGACCTCGCATGAAACAGGAGTGTTACCTGCGCCTGGAAGTATTCGCCTATGCGAAGCAGTATAGTCTTTGCATTCTCCAGGAGTTTCTCGTCCTTCACACCTGCCTAAAAAGGAGAAAATATGACGGGTCAGAGCCGGGTCTTAATCAGGCTGGCTAGGGATGGCACTGTTAGGAGTACGATTAAGTAAACCGGAAAAAATATGGTGCAAGGTGGTATACAGGCGTGGACGAAGTATGAGGGCTTATGCCGCCAGAAACTGCGTACTCAGATTCCACGCACTAAAAGTTTACTAGCTAGAGAAAGTCTATTGGAGTAAAATACAAAATCGTCCATTATAAGGGTAACTGTAGACCAGTAACGAGGTGGATCAGAGACGAAACCAGCCGCACCTCGACCGAAAATGAAGTTAGCGAGCAACGAATTTGAAGAACCACCCCACAGACGCAGCTGGCCAGTACCAACGTGGTGGTTGCCGCAAACCACTATACTTCTACCACCGTCGCCTTCGCACGGTCACGGTGGCGAGAGTAAAACACTAATCCGAAAGCTGGTGGATCAGTTCGGAAAGTCGCCTTGGTTATTACAATACACAACAGTCCTACCTGTTCGACAAGTCAGACAGACAATGAAATTTCCCAGAGCCTCTGCCTTCTTTCTTTTCAGAAGTTTACGGTGAGATGAGTTCAGAGGTAGCATTTTCGTCCACAGGGTAAGGGCATGCCCTGGGTAATCTGCGCTACCAAAAGGGATGGGTTCATAAATGGAAGTCAGTTTAAGTCAGTTTATTTAGGGAATGAGGCTTCCGCCCTTGAGCTCCCTATTCATATCGACAAACAGAAATAAAGTCATCAATTATATCAGCAAATGCGAAAAGTTTAAAAGTTAGCGGTAAGTGTGAGCCAGGCGCAAACTGCCGCCGCTAAAACAATCATTATTATATGTACAGTAGGTTCTCAAAAAATGAGCATCTAGTCTGCACTTAAAGGATTTGACACTTTCGGAAAGAACGACGGCATCAGGGAGTCCATTCCACGCCCCGATGACCCAACTAGTTCATCCAACCCGGAAACGGAAACTGTAAAATTACCCTGTGTTCTAACGATGGCAGTCATCAGTCGCTAGTTTTGTGGACTGCAAGTGGTCGGGCGATTGTGGCCGGCGGAGCTATACCGCGGCCTGAGAATGTGGTCTACGGGCGACAGATAGAAACTGAGTGTGTGACAACATATGACGGCGGCTTGACTAGAAACAAGTACGAACAGCCAGTGGGAGAATCCGTTTGCGTGGGACATTACTCCCGCGCCTGTCACGAAATCAGATCCACATGGGAGCTGCCAAAGTAGACACTACCCAGCCGGGCCCAGTGTCATGACACACTCATGGAGACCGGAAACGGAGGGGGGGGGGGCGCAGGTGACTGACGTGGCGTGAACCTGCGCCCCGGCGTACCACCACACCTCTTGGTCTGCACACAAACGACCAGGATTTCACACGGCAGGAGGAGAAGGCGATTCAGACCCCAACGGAGTGGGAGTGATTGTAAAGGGTAAAGCAACCCTAAAATCCATTTGGTGCATCAGATGATCGGTTAGCATCCTTCCTGTGCCAGTATGGAAACATCCCCCCGGGGTGTTTTGCTTTCCAGTAGTATGGTTACCTCATGCGCTTCATATGCATCACAGTGAACTCGACGGCAGTGTCAACCCTCAGAGCCTGACCATTCACCGCCCGTCCTTGCTTTTTGGCGAGACCTAAGTTTCAGATAGGCTCACAAATACGGTCTTCCCGCCAGCTGCAGAAAAGCGTTTCCTGAGGAGACAAGCTCCAGCAAAATAAGGGCAGCACCCCTCCTATGAATCGACTGAGAATACCAAAAAAGCCAAACATTTACTGGCATTTCAAGGACGTCCTGAGACTCAGCAACTGGCATTGTCACAGGCGGGAAAACAGTAGTTATGTAGAACAAGACTTCAATCCAGAGAACGGACACGGTACGCTTACTATTCATATCCTTCAAATTTGTAGTCAGTAAACACCCTTCCAAAGTGCGGCCCCCCTAAAATTTTAATTCCGACCGGTAGTACACTGTACAGCTGTTCCGAAAGTAATCTCGGCTTGTACAACACAATCGACGCAACGTCAAAGGGTACACGTATCTAAGGACAACACTTAATGAGGGCAGAGGAGCACTGTTCAATACTTCGCCGCGGACCCCCACTGACTGGGGAAAACTTGACCAGTAAAGGACGAGGACTACTTTATTTTAGCATTTCCCCTCTTATTCTTCATCATTTGTTCGTTCACATGCATCCCCGGAGACCACGTATCCCTTGGCTTACAGGTTCAAAAGTATGGCAGTTCGACCGTCGATTTCGACGATGTTTACCGTGTGCACCACAGCGGGTTAAGAGCAGGAACGGTGACCTGCGCGTGGAGTAGCTTACAGGGATGGTAGACCTGCGTACCATCTACCGCACTTTGCCCTCCTTCCCCATCCGGGTCCGGTGCCATGACCAAGTCAAGAAAACCGGAGGCTGGAGAGGCCGCAGGTGACTGGCGCGGCGACAGCCTGCACCTAGACATACAACAACAAATATAGGGGTGGGACAGATCGGATCCAAAATGGCACGGCGTGAGCCTGCAACTGGGTTTACCATCGCATCCTGAATGTTGACATTTTTTCTGGGTGCGCATACCCAATAACGCCTGTCAGACTCCGATATAACCCCCCCCGTGTTGGTGCAGCGCATCTACCGTGAGGCCCGTTTTTTTTTTGGGGGGGGGGACAAGATTAACAAGTATACTAGTAGTTCAACTGCTGCAAGCGACGACATCCACCGCGTGCTTCAAAAAAACGAGCGCAGTACCGATGACTTTAGTGTTAATTAGTTTATCGTGAGACAGACTTGCGCACCGTTCACAATATTCCCTCTCTCTTCACTCACCCACCTTGCTCTGATGGCAAGACAACGTGAAGACGATAGGAGGGGGGCTCGGCCAAGTCTAAACGCCGAATATGGGGCGGGGAGGTCATTGTGCTCGTTGATTGACTGAGGACCGGAAAACCATGACTCGAGCAGTTCACAGTTCATGCGGTTGTTGCCTCTAGCAGGACTTTCTGCTTCGCTAAACTCGAATGTGTGATTGGTTATCGTCGAATGAGCCTTGACTTGGGAGTCGGCGTCGCTCCTCCTCACTGCTGCCGCGTGCTCGGCCAATCGCGTCCGGAGTAGTCTTCCGGTTTCTTCGTCATAATTGCTTTGCCTAAAACTGCACCAAACCCGGTAAACGACTCCAGATGTTTCCTGCCGTGGCATTGGGTCCTTCGGCTTCATGATCTGGCGCCTTATGGTTGCCCCGGTCTGTGTGCAACTCCAATTTCAAGGGGCGTAAGGAGGCGGCTGACGGCTTCCGAGACATTCTTCACGTATGGGAGAGCTCGCCAAAATGTGGGGCCGGTTGGATTTTGTCTCTCGCCTCGTTTACACAGGCACTGCTTGACGAATTTGCGCGGGTAGTCATCCACTCTAAGCACCCGTCGAAGGTATTATACTTCTGCAACCTTGTCTTCCGGTTCACTGCAGTGAGTCCCTACCCGCTGGTATAGCACCATTATGCAACTGGGTGGTTGCTGTTGTAGCTCAGTAGTTGTGTCGTGTTTGTCGCTTTCCTGAATACGAGCGTGTAGTCAGACTTGCTATGGCATGATATGCACTGGTGTGCCATGAGGATTGATTCCCCGGTTTCGGCGTCATTCACTCTCTCTCTCTCTCTCTCTCTCTCTCTCTCTCTTCTCAACATTATACACCGGTCGACTGTCAGAGCCTCTTAACCAATTAGTAATAAGGTTAATAGGTGACCCGTAGTACACACAATGTCTGATTTTAACGTTCAAAACAATTTTAAGCAACTTAATAAAACCGTCCGCGCATTTCCCTGCTTCGTTTTCAACCAGATAGTTTATTTTATTTTTCTCGAGTTTTAGGTGATGAACTAAGGAAGATTTCCGAATTAGTTCAGACTTTTTGCAAACTTTGATGGTTCATGGGTTTGGTGCATGCCGTAAGGGAGCTTTCCTGGATGAAAGCACCTTCAGGCAAACTAGTCTATTTTTTGGGAGTCTTGATTCATACTACACTAGGCAGTGGTCGAGATCTCCAACTTGGAGAACACGTCGAAGGAAGAAGCGTAACATGAGCCAGAATAAAAGTGCATAGACGATGTGCTCACCAAAAGCATCCCGGCTGTCACTGGTAAGACAAAGCTATAATAACTTGTCTTCCACTTGGCAATGGCTGCAAAGCGTTCCTTAGTAATGCCAGCCAATCGTCCGGGAGCGAGTTTGGCAACTTTTGGTGCCGTGACAGTCTCCGTCTCACCATTTTCTGTCGGTCGCTGTGTCTGCGGTGCGCTATTAGCCAGGATATCCAGGGCCTGCCCAAGACAAGTGAAGTGAGCGCAGTCGCCAAACAGCCTAACTAGCTGAAGACAAACTTCCCGCAAGGCAGCGGTCTCACCCAGTGCGGAGAAGAGGATCTGTTGGGCACAAAATACGAGATGCAAGCCGTCATTCACGGAGATCAGACCCAGGCCTGCCGCCCTCTGAAGTTCAGGCCAACTGGTACGACCCCGGCGCATGGGTGAATTGTCAATCAGGTCATCGTGAACGAGGAAGCCGGCTTGGATCTACAAAGGTGTGGACAGGTGAAACTGAAAGTGAGCGAGTAGCAGCCTACCAACTCAATACACCAACCGACGAGGTTTGCCATGCGCGTGGTCACGAGTTGCTCCTCTCCGCTGGAGAAAGCCTTGAATGCAGCTACACAGAGTAGTCCGCGGATCTTCTTTCCGGTGGGCACATTGTACCTGGCCGACTTAAAGTCTAATTGGTTTTGTGGAAACTGGAAAGACGTACTGCGAGGAAGTGTTCCTTTGCAGGAAGGAGCTGCTTGTCGAGATGGGAATACAGAAGGTCTATTACTTCATCAAAGTAACTGTCGAAGTCGGCTCTTAGACTCGAAAGCATGCTCATTTTCAGACGTTTGCAGCTAAAAGGAAGAGGACAGTATAGTGAGTTCAGCAAAGACAGGTCAGACGAGTGTTATAAAGTTATCTGAGAGGCATAAGAATACCAAACAATAAGCATTAAGAGGGCACGTTGTATGTATCAAAAATTAAAAACACATTTCATCGTATATGTTTAAATACGATTTTGAAGTCCATGTTGTGGTGCTCGCGGAAAACGAGCTGCGCAATCCCGGTTTAGCAGGGCAAGTAGGCTGAAAATGGGCTTTCAGGACTGGATAGTGGAATGACTGAACCTTCATCGGTCGATAATAAGTGGTCCCACCAATACAATGTTAGTGCTTGTTGCTTGTTCTATGTCAAAAGCCCAAACTCGATTCCTCTGGAAATCAAGTTTTCGAAGTTAATTCCCGTTTCCGCCTATCATAGCGACCTTTATAACTTCTGCGTAAGGCATTATATGACAACCATCCCCTAGGAGCCGACGAACCAATCATCACTTCAGTGGGAGCCAACCAAAGACCTGCTATCGTGCGTGTGAGTGAAGGGACGCCCTATCAACTTCTCGTTTGCACCTGGCATGGTGGGGCTTAGTCAGTCGACTGTTCAGTCAACCGCCTTATTAGCCGCTTTGGGTTTGGTTCTCGATACGACAATGACGAATGTGTGGCAAGTCTTGTTAAACGGAACTGCGTGCCTATCAGCGACAAGTGCTTCAAACATCTGTTGACCCAATATTCCTACGATGGTCTTGCGGTCAGCCAGTTAAGTTCGGTTATCGCACGAGAGGGGAGTGTGAAATCGACAACGTCTACAGAGCAGAACATGTTTTCGTCAGCGCAAGCCCGAAGGTTCGCCTCTTATCCGTGACCAAAATGCGGTGCTAGACACCGCAACATCGTACAATTACGGCATTCCAACTCAGTCGACGCTACCAGGTCTTGGATTCCTGGTGTGGCACCGCAAAGACCAAATCAGTCCAAAAACTCTCTAGTTGTCTGTCCGGACAACTCAAGTTATCGGACTCCATAAAATAACAGCAAGACGACCAGAAAAGACCATAAAACTACTGAGTCAACATGACTTCCATGGGGTAGGTCTCAGGCTTTTAACAACATGGAACAGTTCCACCGAATAGTCCTCCTAGCCAGCAGTAGGTCCCACACACTGAGTGAGTCTTTCCGATGCAAATGGTGGTTTAGATGCTAGAAGCTTGGCAACATTGAGTGCCGGAGTGAACACTTCAAGCGCATTGTCAACTCTGACGACAAACCCATTCTCACCTCCCTATCAGAGACGGGGCTCCTTCTTTCTCCTGCCTATTGTGCTGTGTGGCCCTCCTTAGGAAAAGATAACATACGTAATACTGAGGTCGATCAAAAACAAGGCGCTAGAAGAGAACAGTTTTCCTGTGAAATTCTATATGCACTGCCTCAAAACTGACGCTCTGACAGCATAAGGTAAGTAAACAAGCATGAGAAGTCGAGATTGCTATAGAACTTAGCCACTTTTCTGTCTTTCTTTAGGAATAAAAATAAGACAGAACGCCAGAACACAGGCCTTAACCATCTCCACTCTTTGGCGGTCGTCGATGGACAGTACTCTTGTCCAGATCTGGACTACTTGAAAAGTCCTCTCGAACGAGGTAGTCAACGCACGTCGCGACATCATGGGGATACTTCACATCAATTTGGGCGCGTCCACTG